CCCTCTGCAGGAGGAGATCCCCATCCCAAAGGGCTTCCCACTCCCTCAGCCCACGAGCAAACTGGAGGCTCGGGAATAAGTGTGGAGGTAACTTCAATATTCAGCTATTCATGGCCTCGGGGGACGGGCTCAGCCTGGCAGCACACCCGGCCCAGCTCTCCTTTCTCACAGCTTGGGGATAGGGAGGGTTTCACCCCTCTGCAGGAGGAGATCCCCATCCCAAAGGGCTTCCCACTCCCTCAGCCCACGAGCAAACTGGAGGCTCGGGAATAAGTGTGGAGGTAACTTCAATATTCAGCTATTCATGGCCTCGGGGGACGGGCTCAGCCTGGCAGCACACCCGGCCCAGCTCTCCTTTCTCACAGCTTGGGGATAGGGAGGGTTTCACATTTCCACGCTGCATGGGGACCTCCACAGGGAGGTGGGAGATGCTGGGAAGCCAGCTCTGGGTCACCCTCGCAGCAGCAATGAGGTCCTGGTGGAAAGAAGCTCCAGGTAGGTCCTGGCCACCTTCAGTGAAGGCTGAAAACCTCCAAGGAGAAAGCTCCAGCCTCCTCGGGGAGCTGCAGAGCCACAAACACACCTGCTGATCCTCCACAGTTGAGGACCACAGCCAGCAGCAGCTTTCTGGCCGTGCAGCAGAGCTGGTGGCCGGCAATATCTGTCCTGCCCAGCCAGAGACACCAGCAACTCCTGCCACGGACCCAAAGCGACCCTCTCCTGGCCACCATGGGCCACGTCCTTTCTCCCTGGGCCTCCATGCAAACTCTGCAGGCTCCATTCACGCCACGCTGCCTGGGGATGAACCCAACCCACAGCAGTGAGCGAGTCCTGGGCGCTCACTGCTCGAGCCAACCTCCTGCTTTCCACCCTGGGAAAGGCTCCGAGTGCTGCGGAGATGCCAGAGACCACGTTGTCCCAAACCGGTGACTTTAAACGTGCTTACAAATAACAGCTGATGGCCTCGCTGCAATATGCAGAGGATGCCAAAACTTACAATCCTTGTGCGCTTCAGGCTGTTGTAACATCACAGATGTCATCCTGAACGCCCTGGGACAGAAGTGGCCGAGGCTCAGAATTTTCAGAAGCTGCAAGGTGTTCTCCTGGCACCCGCTCACCTTCTCCAGCCCAGCCCTGCACAGTCAAGCCACAAGCAGTGGAGTCTGCAGGGATATGGGGCCAAGAGCACTGGAAGCCCCCTAGTCTGTACTCGAGCCACCCCAGGGGACGCACATCCCAAACTAAGCAGCCCCCAAGCTCCTTTACAGCCCCTTTGCATGCACCTCGTCCATCCCTCCTTTCCCCCACGCAAAGAGTTACCTCCCTGAGCTTCTCAGGGGAGAGGAGGCTGGCAGGGAGCTCTGGCTGAGCCCGACCTACCCCGCGGCGGGATCACAGAATCACAGAAA